TATACATTCCTTTCATTCACTGCTTATTTAAATAGGATATATTTCTCTTCTGCTCAGAAAACACCTTTCTTCGTGGACTGTGTCATCTACTTCACAAACTACAGCTGGGAAATATGGAGCTCAAAATGTGCTAAATGATTTGCTGGGTCCAACATCTTAAGCAAAAAGAAATTTTGGGGACAAATATGTCGAGTGCTCGGAGGTTGTTTGTGGATGAATCGATGTTATATTAAAAAGTGCTCAGAAGCAAGGCAGTTTTGAACAATGAAGAAATTTGGACAATACCTTTAGAAAAGCTTGATGCTTTTATTGCTATTATTTACGCAAGAGGAACATATGGTTGCAATGATATGGATTACGATTTTTTGTGGTATAATACATTTGATCCTCCTTTTTTTTTAGAATCAATGCTTTGTAATCGTTTTCGAGGTATTATAAAATACCTAAGATATACCTCTAAACGCTGAGTCCTAGTTCACTTGAAGTCAACTACGACTCAGCGTTTAGAAAGTGACTGCACTTTTTTCAGATATTTGGAAAAAAAATTATACAGAACTCTGCGATTTACTATAAGCCAGGAGAAAATCAGTGTGGATGAGCAGTTATTTCCATCTAAAGCCAGGTGTAAGTTTATACAGCATATGCTCAATAAACCAGACAAATTTGGTATCAAATTTTAGACTCAAAGTTTATGTGCATTGCTTTTCTATATCTTGGAAAAGATATATTGAGAAGTGAAACCGAAAGGCTTCCTGAAAATATAATAATGCATCTATCTTCTAAGCCATTATCTGAGTTCAGGTAGATATTTGACTGTGGATAATTATTTTCCCTCACTACCATTAGCAAAAAGACTTAAAATGAAAAACACAAATTTTGTGGGCACAGTAAGAAGACATCGAAAAAATTCCAAACCAAAATAAGAAGAAAAACTCACAAAATAAAAAGAAACTTCCAGAAACAGTAGAGTTCAACAACAAAACCAAATGTGGCAAATAATGTCCTTAACCAGATGATATGAATAAATATTCTATTCAGGCTGATTCATGTAGATGGCCTGTGAACGTTTTCTATAATATGCTGGATTTAGCAGGAATAAATGTCTACATTATCTACCATAAATTGAGTGATAAAAATATTACAAGGCACAGCTTCCTATTTCAATTAGCAGAGGAATTAAGAGAGATTCATTTAAATAGAAGAAAAAGCACAAGCAAGGAAATTTTCAACTCTAGCAATAGACACTCGAAGAAAAGATAACAAATCTAGTGATGTGTGTAAAAAATTTTCATATTTATTATGTGTGTGGAAAATACACTTCCAGTATTGAAAACGTTGTGCTGTGTAAAAATTACGAAAAGCTACAAATTGCATTTTATATAAGTAAAAATTTATCATATCTTATTTTATAAAAATAATCTGTTGTTCTTTAAAAAAGTTTTCAAACAACTATAATTAATATTCTTAAAAACATTATAAAGCATTTACATTTTGATATATACATTTAATTCGCTGAGCATTTGACTGCCGCTGGTGCTTCTAGGTTGGGAGAAAGCTTGGTGCTTCCAGTGTCAAGGATTTTCTTGAGACCTGCACCAATAGAGTTAACTAATGCAAATTTAAATTTATTATTTTTTTTTAATTCTGAAGATTTTTTTTTCCCCTTAAAGAAAAGCGGCTTGTGTCTGGGTGCCCTGGAAATCAATAAAGTTTTATTTAAAATCTATGCCAAATTAAGTTTGCTGTTTTACTTAATTTTATGTGACTATCCGTTTGATATTTTCTGACTTTATGGTTTAAAAAGTTTTTTACAACTTCTGAAATGATATTTGGCAAATTATCTGCTAATTTCATCAAAGTACTGATAATATTGTTTTCATCATACAGAACAGAATTCATGCCATTAAATTTGATGAAGAAAATTATTTATGAGTAGCTTGATTTGAATAACGAGCATATTCTATACATGTCTCTTTCAGAACTCCCTTCACAGTGGATTAAACCTTTTCCAAATTCCTAATAAATTCCATAGTCTCTGCTTCCTCAATAATAAAAATAATATAATAAAATTAAATAATAAAAAAGACATGCACATTTATCTTCAAGATCACTGCCAGCAAAGATTATGTATCCATTCGATAATATGATACCTATGATTTCAAACATGGTACATGAGAAGATTATATGTAAGTATGATTTCTTATCTGCCCTGTTTGCATGATGGTAGGGCAGCAGGCTTCTAAAATCTTGTGCTTGGGTTCATTTCCCAGAAAAGGATAGGATGTTTGTAGGTGTATAATTTCTTTGGGCACTGAGGCACTTAAAATAATGTTGAGCTAAATGCTCTCAAGACAGGTTGGAAGAGAAGTAGCAGACCCTTTTGATTAATACCCCCAGGAGTGAGGATTTCTCCATCTAAATTCGGACATAGTAGGGCAAACTTTTTATGTCATCTATAAAATATCCAAGGCCTAAGCCAATGACAGGTGCAACTCTTGCCTCTTGGCCATGATTAAATTTTGGGACTTGGTTTGATGTTACTGTCAGACAAATAAGATAAATAACAAAAACCATGATTTCTCAAATCTGTAAATTTCAGACCTAAGAAAGTAAAAAATCTGGAATTCAGTTATATTAGGAGCAAAATCACCCCTGAATAAAACATTTCAGCAGCATATCTGTGAAGGCAAGCCCTCACATTTTCATTCCAAATTCCATTTCGACTATGGCAATGGACATTGTCTAGAGATACTATAAATAGACTGATTTTGAGGTTCCTTTTTTCTTTTTCTTCTTTAGTGCTAACCTCACACATGTGAATGAAGTCTACAATGCACAAGTGAGTGAAGGCTACAAGACATGTCTTTTTTCCACGGTGATTTGACACCGTAATTTTCATCAACAAGTATTTGTGCTTCTTCATATAATTACTTATTTTCATAGCCCATGTACAAGTACCTGCCGTTTGACAAAAGATGGTGCCACTAGTAAGTTAAGTTAAAATTGTCTGATGTTAAATGATATATTGTAATTTTAGACATCAGCCAACAACATAACCTTGAAATATTAGTGATTTTGTACCAGCATCAATTATTTGCTTGGTGCAAAAACAACCAGTGTTGAGCCAAATAAATGTCATTTGTGAGAACATTTGATTTATTTCTTAAATTTGAAGAAAACTGCAGCTGAGGCATATCAATTGCATGTAGATGCATACGATGAGGCTGCCTCAAGTGAAAGAAATTGTCATGAATGATTTCAAATGTTTAAGAATGGTGACTTTGACTTCAAAGAACACAGCAGAAGGCTGAAAGTGTATGAAGATGTGGACTTTGACATAATTTAAAATGTTTGGGAATGATTCAAAAGCAAGAAAATTGGGTTCCATATAAACTGAAGTGAAGAAACATTGAACGCCGAATTTTTACATTCGAAATGTTGCTTGCCAAGTATGAACGAAAGGGTTTTTTCCATCATATAGTCACTGGTGTTGAAAACTGGACCCACTATGATAACCCAAAGAAGAAGAAATCATGGAGACCACCTGGCCATGCTTCAACATCGACAGCCAAGCTGAATATTCATGGAAAAAAATCATATTGTGTATATGGTGGGATTAACTTTGTCATGTTACGAGTTGCTTAAACCATTACTGGGACTCTCAACCAAACATAATTGATGAGACTGAGCTGGGCATTCCAAGAAAAATACAACCACTACTATTTCATACACAAAAGAATTATTCTCCTGCATGATAATACTCACCCACATGCTGCAGCACCAGTCAAAACATACACAGAAACATTCATATTGGAAGTTTTACCCCACCTGCCATATTCACCAGACCCTGCTCCTTCTGATTACTATTTGTTTCAATCAATGACACATGTCCTAAGAAGCACTTCAAATCATGTGAAGATACCAAAAATTGGATCGATTTGTGAACAGCTACAAAACATGAAGTGTTCTTCTGACACTGTATCTGTGTGCTGCCAGAAAGATGGGAAAATGTAATAGACAATACTTAGAATAAAAACATAAGATGTAGTTCTTTCACAAGAAATGCCCAATTTTTGATCAAAGATAGTGGAGACATATTTGTGTTAATACCTATGAAGATGCTAAATATTCCTGCATCACGATACTTTTGGCTCACCACATACACTGCTGGGCTCAAGTCCTATAGTATTCTGCAAGCATGATGATGAAATTTAATTATGACTTTGACGATGTTTTACGATTTCATTTCCTTCAATGTTCTATTCTTCTATGATGAACTCCTGAATGTTATAAAATGACTAGAGTTATCTAGGTTTCTTATGACCAATATGTATCTAAATTTCTACTACAACAGTATTGTTCTGAATAAATATGCATTTCACAGGTGAAGAAATTAAGAGTTCTTTTTTTTGCTACTGTACAAACATTTATCCAAATTTATATTATTAAGGCATACCAGAATCAAATTTTAATGTTCTCTTCTATTCGGGTTATTGTTGGTTGTTACACAAACATAGCAAAAAACAAATTTAAATTACTTCTTCTTTTTGGCTTATTGCCAGTATAATTTCACTAACATCTGTACTGTGATTCCTAAATTTTATGACATCATCAATGGAGATGAGGGCTGATAACAAGTCTGAGCAGAATAGCATTTACAGAGATCAGTTAAGTATAATTAGTGGACATGAATGGTTGCATGTCCATCAGAAAGAATTCCTCCTCATCCCCCCCCCCAAATCCAGGATCACTGAGATTGCTGAGCACTGCCGTAGGTGCACTGATTCACATGTGGATTACACTGAACACAGAAAATGTAATTATTATAGTGTTTAAATAAATAATTCTTTAAATAAAAACTACTCCAAATAAAAAATTCTACTCTATAAAGTAAAAAATTTTGGTTTTCATCAAATGCAGTAATATACATAAATGTGTGTTCTTTGAAAACTTTATTTAGCTTAATTTCAGCACTACCAAAAAATAAAACAATATTTCACCTGTATAAGTAGGCTTTGAAGCTTGAAACTTTGCACTTCTAATGCTTATAAGCAATTTCTGATTACAGAATTTACACCACATTTTATGCTGCTGTCCATAATGAATGCCCTAAAGAAAATGTTCCAAAAATAACATATAACTTGCATCAGGAGTAAGGACATTTCATTAAAATAGTTGTGTTGCAAAAATACTTTAATTAAAAAATGAGTACTATAATTACTGTTGAGGATGATATGAAAATGAAATAATCTCAAATTTTTTTAATAAAATTGCATGAAATTAATTAATGTTTTTAATTAAAGCTAAATTTTGTTAAATATTACAAAATATACTTTGGATATAGTAGATTTTATAATTTATACAAATCTGAATCACAAAATTTCAATATTTTCTTTTTTACTTATTTCCAGACTACTGACATTGTCATATATTTATAAAACAATGCAATCAAATTAAATAATTAAATATAGCCAAGAATATCAGAAGATAGTGAAACTGAGCATAATTTACTGGTGAACTTCCAACGGAATAGTGAAATTTAGATTCACAGGAAATTATTTTGAATATATCATTACAACTGAAATTTAAATTAACTGATTAGATTAAGATAATGCATTGTAAAATTGTCTCAACGAACAAAATAAATTTGTTCACTATAATATGGCAATAACAATAAATACCTTTCAAATTTCTTCCATATTACATAATTTTATAGCTTCTTCCCATGTATGCAAAATATACAACCACAACATACCTGTACCTTAATAAACATAAATAATTTTTAAAAAATCATTCATCCTTAAAATAAGTTAACAGTTCATCCTTAAATATACTTCTCTACTTTTATATATTAAAATAATTTTAATTAATAAATTACTTACATCAACAGCAACTTGTTTAGAACAATTCAAACAGTCAACCAAAAAATGACATTCCACTAAATTAATGTCAATAATTTGGCAGTCAGTCAGTTGCAAGGTTCCAAGAACATTAGAGAATGGATGCAGAGTTGCAGGATTAAAGGCATATACCATTTCTCTATAACATTTAGAACATTTCTGTGAATTGCTTTTATTTGATGCAAACTCTGCATTGCAAGATGTTCTACAGCGACTGCATTGAAGCATGACAGAGATTTTTGTGCAGGTCAGAGCTGCAGCACCCTCTGTCAGTTCCAGATCTGAAAATAAAACTTTCATCCCTTGATTAACAGCAGTGTTGATAGGTTCATTTTTCTTGGGCTGGGAGACTATATCTTTGCATAATGACTTCTCCGACTGCTCTTCAACTTCAGAATTATTAAGATTTTGTTCTGTATCTGATTGGTCGCTTATATCAGAAGTATTTTCTTGATTACTAGTAGCAGTGGATGATTCAAATAGTTTTTCGGGAGGTACAAATTCAATGCCAGCATCTTTAGCTTGAATATCTAGTTTTACCTGAAATAAATAAAAATTATAATTAAAATTTTTGAAGAACTTATCTCCTTCTTATATAAGTATGCAGTCAACTTCTGATTTACTACTAATCACAGGATAATTAAAAACACAGAAAAGAGACATTAAATTATAATTAATACAAAAATATTATTAGCATTTTAGCTGTTTTTCCTAATAGCTTAATCTGGAGAATAAATTCATTTGATTAAACATGTTAAATGGATTTTGAAACAAAAAGAACACGTTATTAAAAACAGTAGAGGAAACATCATTGGAAAAGAAGAAAATAAGGTATCAATGGTATTTTAGAAATGGTATTAAAGAAAAACAGTCACAAGATAAATCGAACAATATCATTGGATTCAAACTCTCATCCTGTCCATATTTTCTTTACTTCATAGCACAACAGTGATTTGTTTTTGTTTACGATATTCTTATATTTTAATACAACTGAAGACAAATAGAAGATTAATGGCTGTATAACTAATTTATTTTTATAATTAAGTAAAACTTTCACCATTTTATCAGTGTTTCATAACTTTAGTCACTTGATCACTAATACACTTGATATGATTCCATCTAAGAAAATAGATAGCTGTAATATGCCTTTTGTATATAGAATTACAACCATACATATCACTGAATATGATTTCTTGAATCTCTAGATAGCTCCATTCCTCAAATGAATAGAATTCACACATGCAGATGATTAGGATTCCTCAAAATGATGAAAATAATAATAAGAAACTTAAATGCAATTCCCAAAGCATTACTACTGCAACATACAAGAGAAGACCAATCAGTTTCACACTTTAGAAATCTACTTCTATTATTCAGCCAATTATGGAATGTATCAGAAGGCTATCTACACAAGGAAGACTGTTCTGGGGGAAGAACCTAGGCTGAACTACCAATGTTTGTTGCTCTTACCACTCAGCCACTCCTGGGCACTCAGAGGAATTTAATTAAGTGATCAACATGAATAGATTTTACATATATTATGCATGCTATTTTTATGGAAAAATAACAATAGACTTAAATGTTTCACCTAGCATGTTATAAAAATACCATACTACATGAAACATTAAGTCTATTGTTTTTACCTAACATGTAAAGTCCTGTCAGGACAAAATATAACTCATTGATTCTCAAAGTGTGGAATCAGTGTGTTATCATCTGGGATAAAAGTAATGCATTTTAGTGAAAAAATGAGGTAAGAAAAAAAAAAAAAAAAAAAAAGATGATTGGAAATTCTAAAATAATCCCCACATAAACAAATATCTAACAGGAAGTCAATAAATCAAGTAGCAATCAAAGATGACACAGCTGCTTCTGAAGAAAATCTTCACTTTTCCTCTTTTTTTTTATCTATGAAAATGTTAATAAATAAATGTTAAATATTTATAACATATACAAAATATATTTCTTTTTACCACTTTGCAAAATTAATCTTATAGTCACATGATGCTTTATAAATTCAGTTTGGACCTCTGTATTCTGCTTGATAATATGAAAAATACAAAATCTGATGAATATGGGGTATAAAATCTATTTTTACCCAAATTATTCTTATTACAAGGCAAGTTTAGTGAATGCCATGTAGAAAAATTTACAACCATAAAATGTATTGCTAATGGATAGTTAATAGGCAGTACTGCTAATAGATATAGCAAGGCCAACCACTGCAATTTGTGCAAAATGGCTTCCAAAACATACACAGACAAAAGATTCATAAGACATTTACCAGATCAGTATTATTGATGACTGAAAACATAATAATAGCCAAACATTATTCACCCATCATACATATGATCCAGAAAATATTTTGGATACTCATAGAAGTTGTCTATGTGTGCTTATACATAACATGATGAAAATATATTACACCTACTCAAAATAAATAAACAGATAAGTAAATAAATAAAAATAAATTGGACAGTTCTATATCTCCCATTCTGCTGGGCAGATTGATGAAATTCAACTTGTTTTTCAGGTCTCAAAAACATGACTTAAGATATACATTAGATTTATATTTGACACAAAATTGGACTAATTCTGAAATGACATACTGCAAGATGCGAATATTTTTCCATATTTCAGTTCTGTGACTCATACCACATTTTGTGGCTAAATACCGAATTGTGTAAAATTTGGTTGGGAAAAATACAAAGAAATTTGAAAATTTATCTGGGTGTACTTTTTTTTTAGTTTGCACCAAGGATAATTCTCTTGGCAAAATTTCTTATTTATAGTAATCTACTTCACTTTTCCTTTCATTGTGCACAACAGAAAAAATGCATTGTTTATTCTTTCAAATACCTCTTTTATATTGCACATTTTAAATCTGCACATTTTAATAGTTGTTATTTTCAGAATTTTTTTTATTTTTAAACTTTCATTTTAATTGTTTGAGTTGTATGGCTAAATTATATTTCTTCAAATAATTCTTTTAAAATTTTCAATTTATTGATTCAAACTGTTTATTTTAAGTATATTTATTAATATAAATTTTTGAGAGTTCTGTTTTTTTATATATATATTTGAACTGCATTTCTTTCGAAAGAATATTTTGTGACCCAGGCTACAATGCATTTGAAAACTGCATATAGTAAAAGAGAAAAAGAACCCAAAAGGAATCGAATAATAGCAAATGTAACTGAACATTCATTTGCAAAAGAGCTTGGTAGTTTACAAAGTAATGCACTAACAAAATGTCATCTCTGTGTTTTTTACTTATAAACTAAAAGTATTTTAAATATTTACAGATGGAATAGTTAGAGACTAAGAATCTGGCTCCTAATTTAAGCAGGCTCCACCAAAGGATGCTCATAGTTCCATAGATACCAAGTTCATCCCAGGCAAAAGAACTAGTTGCATTCTCATAGTTTCCCCATGTGTAATGTGAATACAAAATAGGTTCCTTTACAAAATCATCCCTTTCCTTAAGCAGATAGCTCTTGTGTGCTTTTCCTTATTCAAATAACCTAACCTAATGTAAGATAATGTGACAAGATTTCAGAAAAGAAGACAAAATTATAACTTTTGAAGAATTAAATTTAAAATAAAAAAATGGCATATTTTAATAAAGATCAAAGCTTGGATTTCTAAAATACTGCAGATTTGAATATGAATAATTTATGTATTTACTAAGACTCTATACACATGTAAACCATAAAAAGTTTTTTTTTTTTTTTTTTTTTTTAACTTTTACTTTTCTTGCACTTGCAATGCTTTAATTTATACTTATATTTTGGCATGCATTCTAGAGTATTAATTCAGAAACCAAAACAAATATTTAAAAAGTTGCATATTTCAAAATATCTACAGTTATGAATTCTTCCATATGAAATGTTTTGAGACAGTAAGATTAATTTACTATTTATTTTTAATTTTAACTATACACTAAAGCTCTTAAATTAATTACATAATAAAACAAGTTAAATTCACTTACCATTAATTAATATAACTTCAGTTCATAAACTGAATCAATTTAATTAATCCATAATTTTTAAAATTTTACTACACAATTTTCCCAGTTTTATAAATTTGATTTAAATGAAGTTAAAGTAAAAACAGCAGACAATAACAAGGTGGAGGTAAAAATTTACTTTATTATGTTAACAAACATAAAAAGGGGGAAGGCATATTAAATATTTGTTTGATATTCCTTATGAATTAAAAATCATTTTCCATATATTATTAGCAAATATTTATTACACACCATTAAAAAATTCAGGGAAAAAATTCCATGTGATTAATTCTATGTAAAAGTTTATTGGGAAATTTAAGGTTAAAAATAACTATAGCAGTTCATTGAAGATTGTAACAAAATACATAAACCATAGATGGTGTTATTATTGATTACAATAAATAAGTCAAATTTCAAAATGCACTAATATATCAATTCACATAAATCTTATAAGTTTTTCCAGAAGGGCTAGAAATATTTCTACTTCAAGTTGATGCTAAAAATTTTATAGGTTACAATTCAAAGTTTAAAAAAAAAAAAAAAAAAAAAAAAAATTATAAAAATACAAATTTTGCAAATAAATCAGGAAAAAAGTGCAGATTTCATTTTGGACTGAACTTAAATTTTAAATTGTGAAAAAAGGAATCACATAAGTTTAATAAAAAAAAGAGAGATTAATAAATATATACCAAATTCAATTAATGCTGAGGATCTAACATTTTGAAAGCTATTTTTTTAAAAATTTCTTATGCAATTTTTACAAAACTTGGCACTTTGGCATAATTTGAGGTATAGGATTAAAATATAGGGGAAAAATCAGTATGTTATTTCAGAAAAAGTCTGATTCTGAGTCAAAATACCTATGTTGGAAAATTGCCATGCATAAAACTAATATATATCCAAAGTCGCACTTTTGAGACATGAAAAATGTAAGCTAAATTTTGTCAAATGGCCCAGTAGAATGGGAGATATAGAACATTTTTGTACAGACATAGAACTTTTTTTAATGGGTGTACATACATACTGTATATTTGTTCCAATAAACACAAGAAATGATTTAACGTTTTTTGCAAAAATTAAGACGTAATATTTCTCTTAAAATGGATTTCTAATACTTCATTTTTATTAACAAAAGTTATGTGAAACATCAAGGTCAATAATACCTTAATCAAATTATATTTAATCAAAAAAAGCTTACCAATCTTAATCCAGAAATAAATAGATCCTCCAAAGTGCGATCAAACCACCTTAAAAATGGACGAAATACTAATTCTACTTTATCCGATGCAATGGAATCTTCAAATTTTTTACTCAGCCAATCCTTAATACTTCTGTTCAAAAACCTAAAATTAAATACTAAATATATAAACCTAAAATATTTAAAGACTAAATACATGCCATATACTCAAAAGTCCTTACTCAGTGTTTATTTTTGCACTCGCTGGTCATAGACATATGGTTCTAACTACAAAAGTGTTTAAATGACAAAAAGATTCTTTTTGGGCATTTTTACATTTAAAGTCAATTTGTGAAACTTATAAAATCTAACTTTTCATATGCTTCTTCAGCTCCTATTGTTATATTTAGAGAAATGTTATTATACTCCTTATAAAAAGTAAAACACAAAAAGTAAAATATAAAAGGTAAAACACAAGAATCAAGCTTGTATGACCAAAATAGACCAAGATATTTAACTGCAAAATTTGCCATTTATGAAATCATTTTCAGTTTGCATTAAAGGGTCAGTTAATATATAATTCAGGATAATTTGAGACTAATATTTTCCCCTTAATCACCATTCAACAAAATTGTGATTTATTAGTGTCTTTATTTATAATTTTGTTACATTTGGCATGTCAAAAGAATTTTCACACAAATAATTTATAAGTTTTAAAGTGTAAGGTTACATTATTAATTTCTCATGAGGTTTTATTACTTTAGAATTATAATATGATAGTCATGAAAAAATCATTAAAGTACAAATATTTTTCATTTTTAATTAATGTAAATAATAATACATGTTGGCTACATACCAATACTGAAGCCTGTCAATATTTTCTAGAATGTGAATTCTATAAGATTCTGCTAAGATCTCCTTTTTTGGGAAATATATATATATATATATATTCATCAATATTTTTCATAATAATCTACATAAACATGTTCATCGTATAATCTCTTAGCATCTGAAACTTTTTCTATGTGTTTTTTCTTTTTTCTTTTTTTTTAAAATTTATGTATAAATGCAAACATTTTGCTTTTCAATTTGTGTTTGGCCCCTGAATATGATTTCCAATTACTGTATTAAATGGCTTGGCCAATTTTTTTCATACAAGTCAAACTTTGTATGTGTTTTATTTTTTGTAATGATATTAAAATGTTTCTAAATATAAATATAAAAATCAGAGAAACACAAACAAAGTTAGATTTCATAATCTTTATTAATTGATTTCTTTGAATTATAAATGTCAAAACATGAATCTTTGTACCATTTAAAACATTTTTGGAAATGAAAATGTATATCCAAAACCAACAGTTAAGAAAATAAAGGCCCGTTAAGGACTTTTGTGAAAATCATATGCATTACATATTAATCAAACTTTCTAATTTAAAGCTAATAATAGCTAAATATCAGAAAATTCCATTTTCTATTACAAAATAGTTATAATAATATCTTTTTTGTTTTATAAAAGAAATTTAAACAGAATTTTTTATTTTAAACAGAATTTTTTATTTTATATGAAAGAGTAGGAAATGAAAATATTCAGAGATTGAAGAAATGCACGAATTCAATTCTGAAAAGTACTAAGAAGGGAATGTTAAGACGCAAGAGAAACACGATGACGTGAGAAATAAAACAGGTAAATCGACAACCTTGTATTCGGAGTAGATTTTGTAAATTTCCAATCGATTTCAAGGGCAAAATGGATCCCAATCGATTTCGAGGGCAAAACAGGTTTGATATGATCAACATTCGCTTTCTCGCTTTTGCAGAATTTTTTGCTCCTGATGAAGGGGGACCCATTTTGCCCTTGAAATCGATGGGGATATTACAAAATCTATGCCGAATATAAGGTTATCGATTTGCTTGTTTTATTTAAGGGAATGTTAGTTTTGTAGGAAATTGTTATTGCCAACATGACAGAAGAAATATATTAGTTAAGTATGCTGCTATAATTATTTAAAACTTTAGTCAGAATGTCATTTTCTCTTTGTTAAAAGTTGTTATATTTTTAAAAACAGAAATCTAGATATATGGAAGATTCAAATATGATAGTTTTCCACTGGAATATAAGAGAGAAGGAATTTTATCGAATTCTCTTAAGTTATCTACTTCAATGGTTAAGTTTATTGATTTTTTCACCTTTGTCCCAACTTACATTGGAATGTAAATGACCTCAAATAATCTTAATATATACCAAAGATTTTGCATTTCAAGTATTCGATATTAGACTGAGCAAATGACAATATTTAACTTTTGACATCAGGCCAAGCAGACACAGAGTCATGATATGACATGACAAGCACAACTGATGGTCCTCACTTGAATCTCCTCCATCTACCATAATCACCAATTACTTAGCTTATGATGATTTAGCTTATTATGACTACCACCACCTCTCAGCTCCAAAGCTACTAGCTGTCTTTCCTATTTTTCGACAAAGTTGAATTGTATACAGTTAATTCCCAATTAAATGGAGTGAAAGCACTGTCTGCCCCCCTTTATTAAAGTTTGTTTACTGTGAAATAATAAAAAAATTATTGTCACAAACCAGAAAACAAAAGTAAGTTTTTTATAACTTACTTTTCTATGAGAGTTTGAAATAAATCACATTGTTAAAGTTCTGTAGTAAATAGCTCTTTAATGTCACTTATAAATTTAGTATGTTTTGTTTGTTTGATTTTGGCCTTTAACCCTTTGACGCGTGGTGGTCACGCCCTGAAACCACCATTTTCCGAATTTTTTTCTCCTCTTTTTTCTGAAATTTTTGATTGAAACTTCAGATTGGATGCCTTTTAAAATTTTTTTTCGATGAGAAAAAATAACTTATTAACTTTTATTAATATAAACAACTTTAAATTTCAAAAGTTAGTCATCGCACATCATGATTTCTATCATAAACAATAAAAAATTGCAGTAATTAAACTGAGTATATAAAAGAACCCCTCTATATGTATGGCATTTGCTATGTGGTTTCAGGGCACGACCACTGCGCCACTAGAGCATTGTGTCACAATGCTTACAATCCTCTAGAGGCTCAGTGGTCGTGCCTTGAAACCACTGGCGTTTGCTTCTCAATTGCGTTTGCTTGCTTTTCAAATAGGAATGTTTATTTTTATCCGGATATAGATAAAGGGCTTTGAAACCACAGTTATTTTATTACTAAACAATACATGCACCTGCGCAGTAAAAAGGTCTTTCTTTTCCAAATACTTTTCTCTGATATCAACACACTCGCTCCCCAAGCTAAGTATTGTGATTTTATAAATTATTTTCCTGTGGTTTAAATTTAATGTAAATATACTTTGCTATAATTAAAAATAGAAAATTGTGTAAAAGTTTTATTTAAATTAAAATATTTTCTGAATATTTTGGGACGAAATACGAATAAAATAAGTATGAATGCGAAACGAACGATCCGTACCAAAGCCAAAAAGACCAAGCCCCCCCCCATTAACATTAAAAAACCACAAATTTCATGTGCCAGATGAAAAGAAACTAAATAACGCTGGACATATTACCAAGTGAAATTTGAAAATCCAGGCAATGTACATTTTGTAGCACAAGGAAGAAACCTCATAGAACAAGATGTATGTGCGAAACCTGCAATGTGGGTCTATGCACGTACCAAAGAGACAAAACATGCTTTGAACGGTGTCACAAAAAAAAAAATTGTTCTTTGAAATGAAAAAAAAATAATAGGAAAAAACACACTGAGTTCCTTTTTATCTTTATTTTATTGAGTTTTTTAATCCATTTATCCAAATGTCCTTATTATGTAGGTACTTATATTTTCACTGCTATAGAAAAATTACATAAATGTTTATTTTTTAATTTTTTCTGACGATTTACTTTGTAAAATAATATTAAAAAAAAAATTATATATAATGCAATTCTCACATACATTTTTTTTAAAATCCGTAAATTTCGTCATTTATTGGAAACGCGCGCGGAAAATGGTAAGTTTTTTTTCCTACTACATCAGTAAGTTTCAAAGTCCTAGACGTGCGGTGGTTTCACAGTGAGACCACCACCCACAGAACAATGGGCAAGAGTAGATTTTTTTAAATTCATATATTATTTGTCTCTAGGATCATAATATTCAATTTCTAGAGTTTTTAGTTAAAAAAATTATAAAAATAATATCGCGCGTGTCAAAGGGTTAACATCAAATTTGTTAATGACCCAAATGCGAAACCACCATATAATTTAAGAAAATTAAATAGTGCTTTCATCTTTATACATAATGCTTGTTTACTTTCATGCATAAATACATTTGTTTTCTTTATGTTAAATCTGGCTTTTAATTAACATTAAAATTAAGCTTTAATTTTCCATTTGTTGTTGATTTTGCTGTTGCATGCTTAATTTTTGAAAAGCAGTGTATAATAAATTAATAAAACAATAATAATTTTTGTAAAAATTGAATAATTTTGCAGGACGAATAACAGCACATTTGGGCAGATATTTAAAAATTATATTTTCCCTGATTACTTTGTACTAAAATCCCATGATGCCATTATGCATGGCAGAATTTAGAAAACGAAATTACATCAGGGAAAACAAAACATGGTTTATCATCCAGCTGGTTTTCATTACTCATAGATCATGAGGAGAGGGGAAAAGCACTTCAAAAAACTCTGGTAACCACAGATAGCAGTGAAACCAATTAAAAAATCATTATCCTGTGAAAATTTGAAAATATAACGTTGATTTTTGTTGTTTGACTTCTAAATTGAGAGAATAATGTGCTTGCTTGAGTTTCAGCAAGTGAAACTCAAGCGTGCATATTATTTTTATAAGCATATTTTTTATATTAGCATTATTTAGCATATTTTTTTAGTGACTCTTCATTTAAAAAAAAAAAAAAAAAAAAAAAAAAAAAAAAAAACCTCCTTTTTTGGAAATGGCTCATTATTGGAGATGAGAAGCAAGTACAATACAATAACTGTACAAGAAAAAAATCATGGGTCAAAACCAAAGAACCTCCTTTATTATTAACATCAAAAGGAGGGCTGCATCCAAAAAACGTAAAGGAATGGCACAAAGGAATGGTACACTATAAATTGTTGCCACCAAATTCGACAATAGATTCTGAAAACTACTGTTCCCAAATGACAGTTTTAGAAGTAGAGCACTCAGAACTGATTACTTTGAGGTGTTGTCTTCCATCATGACAATGCTCGCCCTCACATTTTGATGTCACATTTTGATTTTTGTGTCAAACAAAAACTTACAGAGTACAGTTGGGATATTTCATGTGCCATCCTCCATTTTCACAAAATTTTGCCACCTTAAATTTTCATCTCTTCAGATCATTTCAAAATTTTCTGAACTGGCTGGAATTCACTTGTCTGGATACTGTCAAATAACACCTCGATAATACCTTTATGAATAAGCTAAAATCTTTTTTAAAAAGTGGAATTTTCCAGTTGCCAAAGAATAAACTGTGCTTACCATATTTGACGGCATATAAGACGCACTTTTCTTCCTAAATTTGGTCTCAAAAAAGTTACCTGCGTCTTATACGTGAAGGACACAGTCTTATACGTGAAGGTAATTGCATTCAATATTGTTTATTTGGCTTTTACGAAACGTGAGAACTAAAAGAAACCACGGTATTGAAATTTTTTTTTATTGTGTGTGGCCGTCTAAATAAGGGTGCGTCTTACGAGTCTCGTATATGCCGTCAAATACGGTATATGATTCAATTAAATTTTCTTACATTTTTGCATATTACTTCATTTGTTTTTATCATAAATAAAAAATTGCATAACTTTCCGGATGACCCAATACAAATTTTGCCAGTGTAATTTTATATACACTGACCAAATATTTTGAAATTTCATATTAAGAAATATAAATATTATTTTAGAGGATAAATTAATAAATTTGACTACTAACTATCGTCTCATAAATATTTAATTTTTTGGCTTTTCTTTGCAATGCTTACATGAAAGGGGGTTGAGGGGAAAAAAAAAAAAAACTTTTGTGAACAGGATATTTTTTAAACTTTTTATGTTAAGACTCTGAATTTTGGTATGTGGTTTTAATTTTAATTTCCAAAAGTACTTAAAAAATGTATCTCATAATTTTTTACTTTACCTAATAACTTAAAAATGTTATCATAATCTCATAATTAATAATTTTTTCACTTGTTTCTTTTCATGTTGCTCAATGGATGACATTCAAATTAATTAAAGAAGCAAAGGCACAGAATCTGGCTCCTAAGGAAAACAGATGCCTCTAAACTCATACAGGCATTTTATTTAAAATCATTGCCATTGTAAGGCTGCCTAAATAAGTGATAAAATTTGCTGCCTGAATAAGTATTATAATTAAATATATGAAAAACCAGAATTAAAAACATTGCACTGAAAAGTCATGATGAGAAAAAAAGGCAAAATATATTTAAAAAAAAATTATATATTCAATATATAGCAAAAGAATGCATTGTACCTGATAAGAAGTGGTGGAATGTAATCAGCAGACTCCAAGACTTTAATCTGACAGACCTAAATATAATAAAATTAGAACATTTGAATAGCCTTGTTTATTAAATATCTTTCTTAAAAAACTGAATAAAAAAGTTTAAAAAAATTTGTTAAACAAAATTTATTTTGATTACATAATTAGACGATATTTTGATTTTCATCTTGATCCTTAAAATAACACGAACACTAAATGACACAGGTAACTAACCTAGAGCAACTATTTTTGGAGGCTGCCAGTTGTGATATTTTCACAAATGATACTTGAATAAAGGTACAGTTTGCTTTGAATTGTGATATGGTTAATTTAAATGGGACATCAATTTTACTGATTACCTGTGGTACCAAAAATACTAAGCTGGAAGATTCTCCTCGAATTTAGCCAAAGCACTTGCGGTGGCTGTTTGAACAAGAAAGTACCCATGAAGCTTTTAGTATCACTGAATTGTTGTTATCTAGTACATGCATCAGGAAGTTGTCCATTGATAATAATAATAAAAAGTAAATTTTGTTAATTTTGCTTCTGGCAACAAAATAGGATTCCACACATGTCTCATAGGCCTCTAGTTATACATATTATAAAAGTTATATTAGATGAAGAAACTTACATTTATATATGTTTATTATGATTTATATATGTATATATTATTAAACTCGTCCTATATTATATTAGAAGCAATTATATTCATATGTATATATTTATTTTAAACAAAAAATAATATTCATTTTTTCACAGCTGTTTTAAAATTCCATATGAAGTCCAAAAATATCAAGAGATAAAAATGCTTTTATTTGCAATCTCTTATTCTGATGTATTATGCAGGCCTAAGCATTTTGCTGGCCAGTGTGGTTTCACAGGCACTGCTGATGTATTGCTGTTCAATAATATGTTTATTACTCTTTTGAATACATTTTTCTCAGTATTATTTATGGAAACATCAAAACCAACAATCTCATAGTTAAAATTTTTGTCTCTGCAATTATTTTAAAAATTTATAATAAATACATATTTTTTTTAAATATATAAAAAATTTTCCAACAAATGTATCTTTTATCTGTTTTCATAAAAAGGTAAATAATAAGCAGCCTTTATTTTTAATAATAAATGAAAGCATTATACAGAAAACTTACATTTTCTTTAAAAAATTACATTATTTTCTTAGTGCAAATTCACAAGAGAAATAAGTTTTAGCTTACCTTCTTTGGATAATTTTCAGGAAAATCCACTTGAATTTCCAAATTTTTCAAGTCAAAAGGCTTTTAAAATGAAATGAAATAAATTTTAATGCAGATATAAAAATTTAGTGATAACATATAATTCAAGACAAGACAATCATGGAAGGTTAAATTTCAAAAACACAATAAGAGAATCATCTGTAATTTAACAATGTATTAGAAAACACTTCAGATATTATTTTTTATATACATAATTTTAAACTATGTGTTTAAAAGCAAAAAAGCACAGGGAAATTTTCATTTTAATCAGAATATCAGAGATTTTAAGAGAAACTGTGTAGGGTTTATTTATGTTAAATAGCTAGTTATTTTTTGAATCTGCATAATCATTTCTCCCTTTCCGTTTTCCTGCCAGAATGGAAGTTAGCTCAAGTGTATTTTAGTGAGGGTTTGAGATCGTTTAGACAGAGTGTGCCCTGCCTGAAGGCCACATTACTAGGTTGTTGTTCTAAGTTTAAGAGTTCCCATCTTCAGCATTGCTTTATCATTGCCGATAATGCCATCATGCTGATATAATCTTAAGAGCTGACTTTCACATTTAAATTTCTCTGGAAAGCCTTTGGCTGAAAAATACTTAGATTTAGTTTTAAATTTTAAATTCTATTTCTGAGTTTGTACCATAATTGCTAGCTGATTTGCAAGCACCAAGTGTGCCTGCTGTTCAAATTACTTAGCTTTAAACAAAGGAGTCTTTTACACCCTTCTTAAATTTCTGTTTATTCTTAGACATATTGATAAGTCGCTTACAGTCTAGTGAGGATTTGCCACAAGTTACATTTAGTTACAAGCATATTCTCTACAACTGCTGTGAAGATTTCATGATGTACTGCTGCTTTATACAGCAGTAGCATTAGAGACAACCATCTTTAGAAGAACCACCTCAGTGTCATTATTTTAATAGCACTGAAGAAGTTCATAAAACCAGGGCTGGATTAAGACTTTTAAAGGCTCTAAGCACTTAAAAAATTTTGGTGCTCTAACACACATTTATACCATTTTATCCCCTTTACATCTCTTTTGATTTAGGTTTAGCTTATATTCTATGATATATAATTTCTATAATATATATCATAGATTAAAGATATTCTATAATATATTCTTCCATGCATTTTATGGTAATGAGAAATTTTTTGTGGCAATGAGGAATTTTTTGTGGTGCTTCTTGATGCCCTAGGTAATGCTTATTTTGCTTAATGGTTATTCCAGCTCAGCCTAAAACCAAAGCTGAAGATTTAAATATTATAAAAGATGATTTCTATATGGCAGCTGTAGAAATGTGCTAAACATTGTAGACACTTATGAAGACTGTTTAAAACTTTATAGAGATACCATGTTTATGATACAAAAATAAAAAATATGAACAGCAAATGAACTACTGAAAATTTCTAATAAGTAAAATTTCCAGTATTCTGTAACATGCATCCATTAACACAGTGCTTCTCAAATTATAGTCTGTGAAACCAGGTCCTCAAAGACTGCCTTTGAGGTCTTCCTAGATTTCAAGAAAAGATAAAAAATAAAATTTAAATTAACTGCATATATTACACTACAGCTGAAACTCTCAGAGTTTAGAAATTACACATTGCAGTCGTCTATTATTTTTTTCCCCAAGACTGATGCTTTATGAAATTTATAATTGGTTACTATGGACTGCCCACTCTACCAAGAGAGAGAGATTAAAGGAAAGAGGGATTAAAACATTATAATTGTGATGCTTCTGGTCATTATTTTGCTGTACATCTGGTGTCACCAGGATAACTACCAGTGAAAATGAAATACAGTAACAGCTTGGTATATATCCATTTTGAAATACACCCAACTTGACATGCGTACTGTTTGAACTCGATTTTTCTTTTCTTTCTTTCTTTCTTTTTTTTCTTTTTTTTTTTTAAGTATACAATATTGTTTTTGAAGAGTTTACTAAGTTCAGCGAGTTATGATGACATGCAATACATTAATTTACCATTTTCTACACAATCCAAGGATCTGAATGAATTAATTATGCATACTGAGACAATACTCTATAGTGAACTGATAACAGCAGTATTTTAAAAATTATAATTCAGTTTACTTCTACATATTTGTGTGAGAAAGGTTTTCAGGAAATAAACACAAAGTATTGAAACCAACTTGATGTATGTGGTAATCTCAGACTTAAATCATTCAAACATAGTACAGTCTGCGCAAGAATCGTTAGGTTAATCTACGTCATTAATGTAAGTACTTATATTTACCGAATTTTTTGTTAATATGATTAAGATTATCAGAACTTTAAGAACCTTGAATTATTAAATATGAATACAAATTTCCTGCTATTAAATTAATTATTTAATATTGATACAAAATGAGTTTTAATTAATTATATTTTTAAAATATAGGCATACTGGTAGTAGCAAATGCTTAAAAATTGCTTTTGAAGGGTACATGATTAAGATGGTTCGCAGATTATTCTAATTTATAAAAGTAGTACCCATATGAAAAAGTTTGATAAACACGGCATTAACATTGCAAAAAAGGTTAACATCATTAAAATATACGTGAAATGCTTTTTATAATAAACTTAACCTCATAATTTTGAAGTTATATGACACGTACTGCATTTAAGTAAAACACACACCATTTAGCTGAACTGTGTATTTCACACCTCTTAAAAATAGAAAACTCCTGTTTTCTAAAAACAAAAGTGCCATACAAAAGTTTTAAAAAAACATTAACATTAAAATGGTTTCATACCCAGTCGGGATCAGATGGTTGAAAAGAAATGATAAAAGTTTCATTTTCTTTAATAATTTTCAGACTTGGAAAGCGCTTTCTCAGCTGCGTGATCTCTGTGTTTCTAAAAGAAAAATGATTGCAGAGATAAAGGTCAAACAAAAAGAATTAATATTTAAATAAAGATTTTAAAGAAAAGAAAATTATTAGAAAAACCATTATGTAATGAATTTTATATGCAGTTTTTTAGAATAATGAGATAATAATATTGCATAATTAAATCTATGCAATTTCACTGACAAAAATTTTCATTAGTAAGTTTTCATTCATTCATAAGAAATAACTGGATATTGGTACCCAGAACAATTACTTTTAACTCTCAAATAACAATCCCTCCACCCCACTTAGAAAAATGTCATTTAGATCTTTTACTGCCTATTATTCACAATACACAAACTTTAAATTAGGTTCCAAAAAACAAACAATCTAATGCACAATGAATAATAATTAATAATGACATAAAACATACCAAAAAGGTAAACTTCACAATTTTAATGCAAAATGCGGTTTAATCCTAGTATCCGGTGCACACGGGATTTGGCTACTTTTGGCAACTTTATGATGAGCAATAAAAACGCGACATATACAATGAGTAATAAACAGGTCATTCAAAGAATATATATAGTTATACATAGTATATACTTAGTATATAGTGTATAGTATATACATAGACGTTGTTTGGGTATGTATATAGTGTATAGTACATAGACATTGTTTGGGTCATTTTTGGTGTTGGCGATTAATTTACAAAATCGCACCATGGCTGCACCGTATACTAGGATTTTACCGCAAAATGCAATTAGCATTTGCATCTCATTTAATATTTCTTAAGTTTTACCATTAATTGTATGTTATTCAATTTTATAACAGAGTGGGAAAATAGCACTACCTTAAATTAATTACATCATCTTCAGTCAACTTTGTTAATTCATAAATTTTCCTAACATTTAAAGATGAAACTTCTATAGGCTTTTCTTTAGTAACTTCAGTTAGGGAAGGAACTGAATTATCATACACGCTTTTATCTTCTTTCTTACTTTTATTTTCTTCATTGCTTTTCTCAAGGCAAGTAGTTTTGCTGTTTTTCTCAGATACATATTTCTTTTGATGGAAGAACTTACAGTTATCACCATTACGGCACTGACCTCTTTTGAAATAATGACAAAGTGGAGCTTTTTTACTTTTATGGACAGAAGAATCCTTATGTTTTTTAACTTGCTTAGATGATTCTAAACTGACTTCGGATATCAAGGAAGAGTCCGTTTCGCCCGAATGACTGTATAGACAATTTTCCGCTTTTCCACAGTTTCCTGTTTTAAAATATCGACATGGTATTTTCCGAGTTATATGACTGCTACGGAAAACATAGGAATTATTATTTTGTTTGCGTAAATTGGCGTTTTTTCCGATACGGTTATCCCTATATGAACTTTTTTTGTTATGCACATATGTACAATTATCACCATATTTACAATACCCGTTTTTCTCATAAAAGAAACAGATATTGGATACTTTTTGTTTAGAGCTATTATTATGTGAAGTTTCTATTGCACCAATAATTTCATCTTGGTCTTCAGCGGTACAAATTTGTAAAGATTCGTAATCTTCAGTCAAATCTGTTTCGTGAGAATGATGCATTTTTAAACTTTCTCAAGTTTTAAATAAATGACAAAAATAAACAATAAAGTATGCATTTATATAAGCATTTCATATTTATCCATTATGGGGTAACTCTTAAAAAAATATATGCCCATAATGGTGCAATATTAAAGAAAAATAAAATATAAACAAAAGCCAACAGACAAAATACACAGATGTCTTGTTTTGCACCCGCTAATTCTTTCTGCTACGATGGCCGAAAAATCAAGCTTAGGTGCGAAGGAAAGGTATATACAAAGGGGACAATTTCTTATTTCAGAGGAGAGTAAAAAGGAACTTCGTACATTTTGTACGAGTCCGAAAGGCCAGGAAGAAAACATGGGACAAAATGAAATTTAAAATAAAGGACCCAAAAATTAATAGAGGGAAAAAAAAAAGGCCTATAGAAAGAAAAGGAAAAGAAGTAGAAAATGTCCTAAAATACGATTGTGTCCATGACTGTAGTAAAAAGTTGCCTTCATTTACAGTAAATAGTGACAGCTAAAACCAATATTAAACCATTACAAATTCTACAAAATAAAAATTCTATGAGAAATTATTAATGCTTCTTGGTATATTCCAAACATCTATATTCACAGAGACCTTCGAATCGAACTTATTCAGGAGTATATTAAACGATTAGCGGTAAACTTCTTTTATTCAGTACAAACCCACACTAATAGCCTTATTAGCACTCTCAGACACTCCCCGCATCCCAGAGAAAAGCATCGTTACCCATGTGACATCCTTCCCACACCACGCTAAACTGACTCAGCGGTTTACCACCCGCAGCTACATCTTATAACCACACTGAACTTGCCATCCCCTTTTTTTCGCCGCCGCTAGTGCGGACCTCACTCTCTTTTTTCCGCCTCCCACACTCCTTTCACCCTACTCTTTCTCCCCCCCCGATCCTTACCAGATGTCGAGTAAAAAGATGTTTCTACATCTTGACACTCGAGAATAAAATACGATATGTATGTGTAAATAGTGACACAGGTGTGTGTGTGTAGTCAGTGTGCTTGGTTATGCTGAATAGATGTGATACTGGAAAAAAAATGACAGTGTTAAAATGCTTCGTATCAAGGTATTTAGCATAGAAAACAAAGTAATGTATACTTGCATCCTGAGACACAACAGCAAAAGACCCATAACATCAGACAAAATTATATATTAATTTAACTAAGCTAACTTATGCTATTTTCGTTCAAAACCTTTTCATACCTTTTTCAAAAAACAGCAGCAGACAAAGAACATAGAACCAAACACAATACAAGACCACACACATACAATATATATATATATTTCTGTATAAATTAGAGAGTATATGTATTAAAAACATAAATTAAACATAGTATTTATTAATTTAACTATCATAATTTATTACAAGTTTAATTATTTTACTATCATAATTTATTACTAGTTAACTAATGCTAGTTTAACTCATTCAGGCTCGCTGTTATTTATATAAGCTCATAGTTCTAAGAATTTATTTAAGGCAATGAAGAATAATCCATCCCTTACATTTGGACATTTAACAGATAGCAAGGAACAGTATGAGAAAAAAAAAGGTGAGGTGTAATATTATTTAAAGGCGAAAACATATTTAAGCGATCAAAAAAAGGGGGGGAAATCCGAGAGAGAAGTACTGCGATGCCCCAATTTCCCTCTCACGAGATTTCTCAAAACAAGGTAAGGGGGCTTTGTAGGTGGTGACAGACGTGAACTGATAACCTTGGCGTCTGTTTGGAATTGATTCACAAAGGAAGCGACAAACAATGAGCAATTTCAAGTATATTTTAATGCTAAAAACTGATGAAAAATTAAAATTTATTGATTTAAAGGCACTTATTTATAGAAATTTGACTTAGTTTAGATGAAAGAAAGGTACCTATCTTAAAATTCCAGGCTTTCGTAGTATATTCTCACATTGTTCGCTGTTTTAGTCTCGTCAACATCGGAGAGAAAATTCTTTGAATAGGTATAGGTTTTGTAGAAAAAACACTATTTCAAAGTAATTTAATTGATACACTAAGTGGAAAGGAATGTTTTTCACTTTTTTACGGAGCGCTGCGAACGTACAGCTTGCATCGATGATCGCAGTGCCTCCTATTTCATAAACAAAAGCATGTAAATAGACAGACAGACAAAGTAAACAGATGTCTTGTTTTGCACTCGCTAAGTCTTTCTGCACCGATGGGCGAAAAATCAAGCATAGGTGCGAAGGAAAGCTATATAGAAAGGGGGACAATTTCGTATATGAGGAGAGTAAATAGGAACTTCGTACATTTTATACGAGATCGAAAGGCCAGGAAGAAAAGATGGGACAAAGTAAAAATTAAAATAAACGGCCCAAAAATAATAGAGAGAAAAGAAAAGAAAAAAAAAAAAAAAAAAAAAAAGGCCTATAGAAAGAAAAGGAAAAGAAGTAGAAAATATCCTAAAATACGATTGTGTCTATGAGTGCAGTTAAAAGGAGAAGAAACTGTCTTCATTTACAATAAATAGTGTCTCACAGGTTATCAGGTTCAATGTTCCGTCTTACTTTCTTTGGGAACATGCGAGGACCTGACTCGGAACAGAGAGCTTACTAACGCTATGTTCAATAACTGTGGGAAGTAGACAGGATACACAAGAAGGGTATACAAAACCCTTTATTTTTCTCTCTTTACAACAATTTCCGTACTTCGGAATACAAAGACCCACTACTTGTGGTCTAAACGTAAGAATATAAAAATATAACTAAACTCTAACTTAACTTTGAAATAATAAACGTGGAAGATTGGTCTTATATTAACAGGAAGCCGTATGTAGTACAGAGAACTGTTAACACTACAATACGTTTAAAATTATCAAGAGGATTAAACCTCTGGCCTGGAAGGCAACCAGCAACTGAGTAAAACTTCTAAGGTAAGCGGCCTGCTTCGACTAACTCCTTCCTCTCTCGCTTGGCAAAAAGCCACAACTTAAGTACTTGGCGTTCGCCAGACAAATTTTGCACAAATAAGTTAACGTTTTTAATTCTGGCCGGAAGTAAAAAATAAGAAGTGATAGTAAAGATTTAAAATAAAATAAACGTTAGTAAAACTTAAGATCCTTACATACTTCCCGCCAGAGTTAATTAGTTTGAAACTGAGGTCTAATACGACCTTGTTGAAAACGTTTAGCTCTAGAATCTAACGCGAGGCCAATCTTTTACAAGCATTTCTCACTAGAAACTAGAAATTTAAAAAAAAGAGAAATTTGTTTTTACAATAGCAGCTCCAAGGAGACGCAATTTTTCATCTGTACTGCATCTAAACAGGGGCTTTTATTCAAATCTGGTTCCTTCCAGAGATCTGGAAGGAAAACTAGTTTAATGAAATGTTACACAATGAAATGGCAAGTAATGCATATTTTATATTTTTCTCTTAACATTCTTATTTCATTCATGACTATTTTAATTATCTCTCCCCGTGCTCTCTGACATGTGTTGTAAAAGAACACCAAACACGAATGTGTTTATGTATACGTGTTCAACACTTCCTCCTACAATCAAAACACTAACGTGTTAAAATTCAACATACCAAGACCTCGTAGCACACCCTAACTTCAACTCTAAACCCTGAGGTACTATTCTGAAAGCGGCTAACTCTGAAGTGTAGCGTCAGAGAGCCTAACTACATTCATTCAACCTTTAACACATATTCACCATGATTTCGTCTTTTTACAGTCACACGAATAAAAAAAATTTTAACATTACTTTTCACTTTTACCATATCACGGTATTTCTCACATTTAAAATAACAGTTCACATTGTATATAAGAAATATTAAACATGCCGTTAATTTTACGCATTTGAAAACATACATTAGTAGTACATTGTTAACTTCTACTCTTTTCAAAGCAAGTGCCATTCTTTGCTACATTGAAATACTACATTCAAAAAGTCTTTTCACACTAACACTTCTTCTTGCCAGAATGTTTTTTTAAAAATTGATACAATAACTTTTACAATATTTAAGTCTTTACATATTCCTATTATACATCACTTTAGTTTTACGTGCGAGTAATTGAAAAAACATAATACCAAAATTTAAGAACTCATTTCTCGCCTTTTGGCGATAAAGGTAGACCTCGCATGAGGTAAAACTCTTGAAAAATCTGATCTGCCATTGCAGTAAAAATGAAAGAGTAACTTAAGTTTGCAAAGTAACATAAATTTTTACTTATCTTTGTGATATTTCGGCATTCTTTTCTAGCCCAGTGGAAGGTAGCGTGATTCTCGTTTGATTTATCCTCCTTCGTGTGCGGGCTCGCCCTTCAGTGCCTTCCTCTAGCTTTCTTTTTTCTCCAGTTCGGTCACCCTTGAACCCTTTTTCGCCTCTGCCTGTGGTCTTGGCGGAACCGGGAAACTTCTTTCGCTTTTCCTGCGTTTGGACCTCGGCTGGCCGTTCAAATTTTCCTTGTAACTTTTCCTCCGCCGCTTTGCCCTTCGCAGTCGGCGACATTTGTGCGGAGAATCTTGTCGGATGATAGATCTTCCGTTTTTTAGAGCCGGGTTATAGTTGCCGTCCTTTCTCTCTCTTTTACGTCGCCTTCCTTCTTCTCCCTCTTCATTCTGGGGGGTTCGTGAACTCACTTTTCTGGACGATGGAACGGCTTCTTTTTTCTTGTTACCTTCAATTTTCCCACGGGAAACTTTCTTTTCACTTGGCTCCTGCCTCTTAATGGCTTGACCTTTTTACTTGTCGTTGTTCCAACTCTGGACCTGTGTGCCTAGTGTGTCTGCCGTGCCGTATCCCGCAAAAGATCTGTAAATATTTGCATTTTTATTACGATCATAGTGGGTTTGATTTGATCAAGTTTGCGGAGCAGTTCACCCATTCCTGGCTTTTAACCTACTACAGCGTAGTTTTTCTATGACATATGGTCCTTCAATCGTGGAAAATTTGGCAGTTTTATCTTCTGGTGCTGAAGAAGTGAATGCTTAATTTTGTAATACTTCACCCCCCTACTTTATAGTTACTGCCCGTCGTTTCAAGTCATAATACAGTTTTTTTTTGTTTTCTCTGTGCTACTTCAAATTCTTTTTTTGCTTCTTAATTAGTTTTTATATTCACCCTTTTTAAATTCTGGGACTCTTTGTTGCACATAAAATATTTATCTAACGGCGTTTAATCTTTCTGCCTAAAAATAACTCAGCAGGAGTTTTGCCCGTTGTATCATGTTTGGCGTCCGGGCAAAGCAAA